TATATAATAAAAATACATTTGTATTCAAGATACATTTTCTAAAAATAAGTCTAATAATAATATCTTATGTATATAATATGCTTTTTAGCTAAATGTACATCTTGTTTTAAGGATGTTTAGATATTTTTATTGGAAATAACAATACTGATAAAAAAAATTCAGTGCAATTTTTTCAAACCTGAAGAACCGTTCAGCTTCATCTCAATGTATCTCCTCCCATGTGCGTCCCCAAATTCAAGACTTTTCCCGTCATTGTTAGGACCTGCTCCTGGGCTGGGTAACACATTGACGTAAGTGGCCAGCGAGCTGGAGCTCTCCTCAGAGATGAGCGACAGCAGCGGGAGACCCTCGGGGTCTGAATCCACCCGAGACTGATCCACGGACGGAGAGCGCAGAAGTTTGTAGTATTGTGTCTCTGCAGGCATTCGCGCTTCAAGATCCTGAATCTTAGACATGCACCAGCTTTTCACAGCATTGGTAGCCGCTACCTTCTTGAAAGATAAAAACAGAGCAACGTAAGTTTGATCAATCATGTCTAGTCTGATGCGATTGTGGTCGTGCATCTCTTCTCTTATGGTGTTGTACCTGTTTTCTCTCGCCCTCCATGCGTTCCAGGGTGGCTCTCTGATTGATTTGATAATGACACTCCATCCCTTCAGCCGACACACGCTCCTGTGTGAGTTTCTCAATAACTTTTATCTGAACAGAAAGAGATATGAGTCTCTAACACCCACATTTTCACTGCCATTGGTTTTGGAAGTGATTTTCCAATTTATTTTATCCATAGGGATTACAAAGAGTCATGTCTTTCTTCTTGTAAGTTATTTAATGGTACTACTTATATTCATATACATTTTTTCAAATACAAACCGCTGCACCCCCCCCCCCCCCAGCACTGCCTCTTTTTGAGTATACAGTTTTACTCAGAAATATGTCACATTGTGGTAGTACAATGGGTTGGGGAGATCAGTTCACATTCACTTTAACATGAGTAAAAAATTATTTAAAAAATATTTTTAATATAATAAAAATACACTGTAGTCAAGATAAATTTTCTTAATATATTAATAATAATATGCTTCTTATTTAAATGTACATCCTGTTTTAAGGATGTTTATTTATTTTTACTAGAAATATACTGATTAAATAAGCATCGAAGTTTGGATGGTTATTTCATTCAGCACCTGCTGGTAGATGCTGTAACTACACCAGGATACATGTAAATAACTAACAAAATAAAATAAAAAATAAAAAAACTACTTGTATTCATATATATTTTTCATTCAAATTCCTAGAATGCCAAATTCATTAATAATCTTATTAACTTATTTTTTATTTATATTACACTATTCAGAAGTTCAGGGTCAGTAAGATTTTTTTTTCTTTTTTTTTTTTTAAAACACTACTTTCATTCAACAAGGATGCATAAAATTGATTAAAAGTGACAGTAAAGACATTTATAATGTTACAAAAGATTTATATTTCAAATAGTCTTATTATGAATTAAACAATTTAAATATTTTCTATTCATCAAATAATCCTGAAAGAAATGTATCACAGTTTCCATAAATATATTAAAGCAACACAGCTGTTTTCAATATTAATAATATTAAGAAATGTTTCCTGATCACCAATTCAGCATATTAGAATAATTTCTGAATGATCATGTGACACTGGACTAATGGCTGCTGAAAATTCAGCTTTACCATCACAGGAATAACTAAAACTTTAACTAAAATTAAAATGAAATATAACATACAAAATAAAAACAAATATATATATATATATATATATATATATATATATAAAAAAAGAGCGTATTTTTGCATTTCACTGGTGTGACTTCCATAGTTTTTTTTTTTGTTTTGCAAACAATATGTTTGACCATTTAGCTCACATCTTGCGTCTTTTGCAGTGTATCGACTGTCTTATAAAGAAGCGATCAGGCGAAAAGTTGTTCACCTTTTTGAAAATATCTTTCCAGAGCTTGTGTTTTGTTCATTACACTGAGCGTTGCTATTTTTAATGCAAAAACGTGTTCTGTGTGAATGGCCTCTACAGTATCTGTGGAGAATATTCATCGACTCGGGATTGTGTTCATGAGTGAGTGATTTGAATCATTTATCCACCAATTAATTTAAAAACACTGAATCATTTAGAAATGAATGAGGGGATTGCCTTTATGAGTGAGTCATTGAGTCATTAATCAAACCGGTTTGTTCAGTAGAGCTTATTCAATCAAAAGTAATGCTTTGCTAGAAAGAGCAGGACAATGAACTGCTTCTAAATGGAAACCTTTGAATGTAATAACATTACTTACCTGGTTGGATTTTGCTAACAGAATAGCTAAATCTCGGTTGTTATTGTCCCGGTCTTTATCAAGAGCAGTGTGGCCTGTCTGTTGATAGATTTAGTGTGTAAATAAATCGTCATTTAGCAGATGCTGTCATTCTTTACAGTCCAATTTATGAAGCCTACTGTAGGTTGAGCTATAGCATCATCCAACCCCAGCCCCCATTACAACTTACGTTCATAATAACTATACAATAATAAAGAGATTAAGGCATATCATGAGATTACATGTTTTACATTGTTTTTGATGCTTGCGTCAGCTCCTGCTTCCAGTAACAGATTGACCGTTTTCTTGTGATTTAGGGCAGCAGCGACATGGAGCGCAGTGTCTCCTATCTGTAAAATATGTTGATTTTCCACAAGATTATGACCACAATAAGTTGTAATTGTAAGCAATTACCAGGATAAGATGCTGTAATCTAAACCACAATCTAGCAGTTTAAAGCAGACAAAGACCATTTTAATTTTGTTTATTTGTCTCAGAATTTTTCATTGTGTGCCACTTTATTATGGTTTGTTGAAGTGTAAAATAATACACTATCAAGCCATAATTAATTATGTAGTTTTGTTTTCTTTTGACAGTTTATAGCATAATTGCTTAGACAAAATAATTTAGAAACTAGGACACAGCAGTGACACAAAAAATAAACCACATTGGTGCTGGATTCAAAACAATCAGAATGAGGATCTGACCTGGTTTTTCTCAGCCACAGAGCAGAAAGAAGCCAAGAGGATCTTAATCATGGCCAAGTGATTGTAGCGTGCTGCAATGTGTAAACATGTGTCACCTGCCTGGAAGGAAAGAAATGATTGCACTGCTTTTTCAGGATTTAAAATTGAACTTTTTACTTTCAGTTTGCAATTTATATAATCATTTTTAAAAGATTGTAATGATTTTAGACGAGTGCACATGCATTGTTTTTGCTGTCAGGCATCGCTCCACCAAGTAGTAGCACTCTAGCGGTCTGGGAATGTCCATTCTGACACGCTAGATGTAGAGGTGTGTTTCCTGCCTTTAAAAATAAAATAATAATACAGTTTAAATAATGGAATAGAAACTGATTGCAAGGATCATTCATCAGAATTTACTAAAACAGAGTTTCTAAATTTAACAAAACATCTCCAGTTTTGAAAATGCTGGGTTTTAGTCCATATCTGTTAGCTGTCAGTTTATCTACAGCAAACTGACAAACATTTTACAAAATTTTCCATGTTCCTGTGCCTCAGTGGTAGAGCATTGCCGTTAGCAGCGTAAAAGGTCAAGGGTTCGATTCCCAGGGAACACACATACTGGTAAAAAATTTTAATTTAACAGAGAGAATGACACAGTAATAATAATGACACATTTGCAGACTGAAATCAACTACACTACCATTCAAAATTTTTTTTTGTTTTTTTTTTATTAAAAAATCTGGTTTAATCTCAAAGTAAATGGAAAATAATGCACATGAAAATGACTTACTTTGTTCTTGACTTGGACATTGGCCCCAGCTTTGACCAGTAGCTTTACACATGAACTGAATCCATGCCATGATACCTCATGCAAAGCAGTGTTTCCTTCCTGATGAAAGAAAATCAGATTCTATAGCATTGATTTGACAACAATTAAATGTTTTTTTTTTTTCAGTTAACAAAATCAGCTCATTCCCTGTGCAGTGAGATTAACAATAGTCTGGATTTTTACATCTGACAGTTTTATTTACAGATTCCTGAAATGTAAATTGTATAAATTATAATTCTGATATTAGAATCATTATTAGGAAATTATATTATAATAATTATAAGGATAATTATAATTATTTTTGTAATGCAAATGAACAGACCTTGTCTTGTAAATCAAGTGCACAGCCTCCATGGATGAGGGCAGAGATGGCGTCACGGTTTCCCACAACAGCTGCCCGGTGCAGGGCTGTCTGATGACCCTGGAAAAAAACAAAAACACATCCATTAGCACTGGTGTTTGGCTGTATATTCTATCTAAGCTCAAAGGCCACCAGAGGTCATACATCAGCCACATTAAAAACTTTCCTAGAAGATTGCAAATTGTGGCCTTGGCAAAAATCTCAAGAATATTGGCTTAAGCCTTCTTATCATTCGCTCAAGTGAGTAATGGTCGAAACGAAAAGTAAAAGAGATAGACCATGAGTTTACATCTTCCAGGCCGCCGTCTGCCCCCTGCCTCTGTGTGACTGTTATGTGAGACCAGGTGAACTCACAGCAACTGTCCTGTGCAAAACAAGACACGCATGCTCACATAAAAGAAATCACACGCAGATGCGCCACAATCCCACACACAGAGACTTACAGACCGAGAGCGTATGACCAGCTGGCTTTACTGACATTAAAAGAGTCACGTGGGTAATCCCTCGCACAGGAACAGAGAGATTTATTGTAGTCTTTCCTTTAGGTCTAGCATAAGGGAATATTTCTGGATAAGAATGAAACTCTTTAGATCTCTGTGTTTTAAGCTCTTGCTTTGATTTCTGGCTGGTCTCTGTAAATTTTGTGTGTGGCAATATGCTTCTCTTTTATAAAGCCAAGTTAAGAACTGAATGGTTAAATTAGGACAAAACAAGTGGTAGAATTGAGAAAATATACATTGTTTTCTTCCATTTTTTCGCTAAATGTGTGTTTTTACTTTCTGTAATTTAGTGTCAACACAGCAGGATGATAATGTGTATGGTAATGTAAAATATAGTAAATAATTGCAACTCAAGTATTTGCCTAATTAAAAAATTAATTGATACTACATGATGGTAATAAACAGATTTTTAGCTCCATATATTGAATTTTCACCTCAGTCCAACTGAAAATCTTTGAGTAAAGACTAATAATCTAATCATCAAAAGGCTGACTCTGAGATTACCAGATTTTTATAAATATAAGTTTTATTATTATATTTATATTAACGTTTTTATAAATGTCTGGCAATGATTACTTGATATTTCTTATTTTTATTCAATATATATTAATCTGCATTAATTAATGGTCTGAGCTTTTTTATTTTTAAATCTTCAATAAAATAAACCTATAGTGGTCATCTCTTATCAGTTATCAGTTGTTATTGTAAAATAAAATTTACTACATTTACTAAAACTATTCAAATTATGTTAACTGAAAAGCTGAAATAAAATTATATACACACACATTAGAACTGAAATAACTTGAAGTACTAAGATAACTAAAACTTAAAAACAAATTGAAGCTAAATATAAAAAATATAAAAAATGACTAAAACTTGCAACTAAATTAAAATGAAAACTGAAAATGTAAAAATAAAAGCAAATTTAAAATATGAATAAATGCTATAATAGTGTATAATAACACTCAAAATGAAAATGGGTCCTTTTTGTACCTTGTCTCAAGAATCAACACTGATTCTTTTAATTGAATTGGCTTGAGTATTTCTCAGAAAAAAGCACGTGCTGATCTTATTCTCTCACTGAAGAATTATTTCGATTGCATACAGCAACATTGAGGCATTAGAGAGATTGGTGAAAACAGCTTACAAATATGCATTAAACAAAGGACACATTAATAGCCTGGACCAAATGTGCTAGAGAGCAAGATTGAAGAGTTGCAGAGTTTGATCTCATGGGTTTAGCAAGATGTCCCAGATGTGAGTCCTAAAAGCTACAGCTGAGACATAGTACCACAGATGGAAAAGAGCTCTGGTGTCTTTTTTTTACTAGTCAAATAGAAAAAGTGATACTACTGTTGCATGCCGCTCAGCAGTTCATGAAATGCATGGTGCTTATAACCTCTTTTAGTCAAGCTCATGAATTATTAATGGTACGCTGCACTGCAAAACCTTTGTACTTAAATATTCGAAATTCAAGTTATGAGACTGTTCTGAAATTGCCCGTTTTGGAAATAGCTCACAAATTACAATTAATTACTGCAGAGGATCCATTGGTGAGCAAATGATGTAATGCAGATTTAAATTTCTCTAAATCTGTTCCTTTAAGCAAAATAGAGCAGGTGTTTGAGGAAGGCATATTATTGCATTCGAAAAAGAACCCATAAATTGGGAATACAAATCTTATACGATAAAACAACCGGATTAAGTTTGGATGTCAAGAAGACAGAGATGTCAATGTCTTCGACTTCTCTCAGATCCTAGAATAAAGACATCAACTCTCAACACAGCAGTGCTGCATTAATGACCTTCTACTATCAATGTTTCTCTTTTGAAGTCATCATGAAGAATGTAAAAGCAACATCTGGGAGTTTAAAGTGGGTCGAAATGTTGCATGCAATCACAAGAATACAGCATTTCTGGATCTGTGTGTTTTGCTTATGCAGTTTATCAAGGCCACATTCATCATGTGGTTTCATGAATATTGCATTACTCCGTCCACAGGGAAATTAAGATATGTATTAAAAGTGTTTGAAGCCAGATGGGTGGATCCATGTTAGGTATCATGAAATAATTCACAAGAAGATACAATCTGTGCTCATCTAAGGAACACAACCAGGAAATGCTCTCCAGACATACCAATAATAATAAATATTTAAATTTTAATCTATTATTATTATAATGCAGCATTTAATAATTCAATGTAAATCATGTATTGTTTCAGCATATTGTCACACTACAGAAGGAGACCTCAGGGAGACAGACAGGTAAGTGTAATGTCTTTATTTACAGCTTGGTGAGGAGGGGAGAGATGCAGAGCAAACGGGTGAGCAACTCAAGAGTCTTTGAGAATGACTGGACTTCGTGCAGGTTGATAACCGATCCTTGTATCTCTTTACAGGCCCGACAGATGATGCAGACGGCGAAGACAGGCGGGTAACAGGTGAGAGTCCAGGTAGGTGAGTCAGGTAAGGAGTAACAATGTTTCTTTTCCTCTTTGCAGGTTGGCAGGCTGAAGACGAGATGTCAGGACGTGAGAATGCAAGTGAGTAGGAAAGGAATCAGGTATGGGTAAACCTTGATGAGACCAGACAATGAGGGTGTGAAAAGTGACTGCTTATATATAGTAGGTGATTAGGTGAATGGTGGCAGGTGTGCTGATTGGGGATCACACCTGTGTGAAGCAGGCGGGATGCTGGGAAATTGAGTCCTTAATGAAGTAAGGTGACTGGGATGTTGACTAGGCTGGTGAACTAGTTCTTTTACAGTATATAGTTTATTTTATATGGAAATTAGAATCAGTACAGATGTAAAGCTCCTGCTATTACAGTCTTTCTGCTTATAACTCGAGCCTCATGGATCATTTCTAAGCTGATCTTTATTCTTTATTATGATCAACTGACCTCAAAGCTTAAACTGAACCACAATCTGCTAAGAACAAAACAAAATATAGCACATTTAAATCATGCTGTTGAATCACTCAATAATTGGATGTCACTAAGCAACAATTGCATCTGACAACAGCAGTTCTACATTAAATATCTGTGTTTAATAAATTATTTCTTTATGTTCCATGTATAATATACTGTACCAGTGCAATATAGTTTATGATATAGTGTAGATTTATGTAGTTTACGTTGTGTACATATTGTGGGCATTACAAAAATGTTTTTAAAATGATCATTTTTACATTTCAAATAATAAGGTGATCAAAGATGATTTGATGATGATAATAAAATTCATATATTACCTTTTTAGAGTTTCCATTGGGTCAGAGCAGGACTGGGTTTCAAAGCATTATTGGCTGGAATGAGAGAGTAAAAGGGCAGAATTCACACACTTACAGCAGTGCACACGCTAAACGTCTGTACTACACCACCTAACCACACTCACCGGCTGTGATCCCAGAGGAAATGATCAACATCAGCAGGCAGTCTGCTGGCTTTGTGGCTGCACAGAAGCAGAGGTATTGCAGTAGATCAAATCCTGTGAGACCACAATACGATGGCTATCAAGAGAAGATGAGCTGGAGTTCAAACTGGAGTCACTGTACAATATGTTACAACGTTATATACCTTTACCTGTTCTTTATCTTGCCTTTAAAGCATCTGATTTTTCAAACTTCAAACCTGCATACAAACTCTCTGATGAGAAGATCTTATCAGAGTATTAGCTGTAAAAAAGAGCCAATTAATCCTTTGAAGTTAAACAGACTGGTTATGGCCTTGAGGAATCAGTAAGAGTGTGCAGCTCTCTGAGGCAATTGTTATTAGGCAATCCATTGGATGTTCCCTTATTTGGTTGTAAGGCCTATTGGAACATCAGTACGAAGTATGTACAATAATGAAGTTTGAGACCACAGGTTTGCTTTCAACAGAATGAGAGCTAAACTAGAGAATTATTCAGAATATATATATATATATAATTCAATAATCCTGTGAGACCACAATACGATGGCTATCAAGAGAAGATGAGCTGGAGTTCAAACTGGAGTCACTGTACAATATGTTACAACGTTATATACCTTTACCTGTTCTTTATCTTGCCTTTAAAGCATCTGATTTTTCAAACTTCAAACCTGCATACAAACTCTCTGATGAGAAGATCTTATCAGAGTATTAGCTGTAAAAAAGAGCCAATTAATCCTTTGAAGTTAAACAGACTGGTTATGGCCTTGAGGAATCAGTAAGAGTGTGCAGCTCTCTGAGGCAATTGTTATTAGGCAATCCATTGGATGTTCCCTTATTTGGTTGTAAGGCCTATTGGAACATCAGTACAAAGTATGTACAATAATGAAGTTTGAGACCGCAGGTTTGCTTTCAACAGAATGAGAGCTAAACTAGAGAATTATTCAGAATATATATATATATATATAATTCAATTTTTGCATCGGTGAACATGAAGAGAAAATTAAACTCCTCTCTCATAAACGTGCTTGAATCTTCTCTATAAATAGTTACTGAGTGCTAACATCACAGCACTTACAGCGCCATCCAGCGGCGCGGACACATGTAGGCCTTCAGCTTTTACTCAAACATAAGAGGTCATCTTGGCTACGAAATCAATATTTGAATTAAATAAAATATCTATTTTAAAGTCATATAAGGTCATAGAACATTTTTGATAATAATTAAATAATTTCAAAATAATTTAAATTCATTTTTACATAATAATAATAATAATAATAGCAAATGTATATTATTGTCAATTATTTTGTTAGTGTTTGATGTCTATTATTTTTATTACATATACAGTATATGTAATATATAAATATATAACCTCTCTCTCTCTCTCTCTCATGGAACGATATTTCTCTCTCTCTCTCTCTCTCTCTATATATATAGGCTACTGCAGTATTATAATTATGGTTGTGTTAGTAAAATATTGTGCATTACTATTTTTATTATTTTTTAAATTGACCCTCTAACACTAGCATTCTCTATTCTTTCGACTTGTTTTCTTTATATTTATTTTTAAAAATTGACCCCCTAGCATTCTCTATTCTTTTTCTATTCTGTCTACTTGTTTCCTCTGAGGTGTGCAATTATTTTCAGGGAAACGCACGGCGAACGTAGTGATCCATGATAATTTTTTTTTCCCGTGTGTATCCTAGAATGGGACGTCTGCGTGATCACCCACATACAATAGCACTGGTAGGCTACTGCACAACATTCAGTGTCATTTGTCATCTAAATGTATATTTACCTATTATAAATTATTTACATTTTATATATAAGAAAAATATTATTAATAATATATAGCAACGTGTTATTATTATCATTATTGTTATCAATAACTATTTTGTTCATTTGAGATTTTAATGTCTATTATATTACATATAAATATATAAACAGTATAACAGTATTGTCATTATGGTTGTGTTTTGCATTACTATTTTTTTTTTTTTTTTAATTGACCCTCTAACACTAGCATTCTCTATTCTTTCGACTTGTTTTCTTTATATTTATTTTTAAAAATTGACCCCCTAGCATTCTCTATTCTTTTTCTATTCTGTCTACTTGTTTCCTTTCTATTATATATATATATATATATAAACAGTATAACAGTATTGTCATTATGGTTGTGTTAGTAAAATATTGTGTTATAATATTATATACAAATTATATACATATATAATTTTATTATAAATTATTTAGATTTTATTTTGCTATTTGGTGTAATTTAGCAACAATACATTATCATAATCTCACTAAATAAATAACCATCTCTAAATGTGTCCTTATGCGAACAAAAGACTGCATCTCCCGAGATCCACAGCCATCGCTGGAGTCCATGCATAGCCTGCTTGTTGGGGGAAGGGAAAGGGAGGCGTCTTCTCTCAGTCTTCTCTCACAAAGTTCTTCTGCAGCGCAGCTCTTCGTTCTGTGAAGATAGCGATGAATAGTCACAGTGTGCTGTGATTCCTCACGCAGGCGGGCTGCTATGTGTGTGTCACAGAGCTAGAGAGCGAGGGGGAGGTGAAAGTTCACCATGGCTTGACCATATCAGGTGACAATGTGGAAAAGTTTGGCTGCCGCCTCAGATTACATTTCTCAAACTCGGAGAATGACAAGCGGACGGAAATACAATGAAGCGGACGGAGAAAACGAAGCGCTGTCGTTCGGTTATTATGACGATGATGATGGTTTCGACACATTCACTGACGGAGACTGCGGCTGTGATGAAGGAGGTTAGGGGGTAGTTTTAAGTTATCACCCATAAATAAGGGCTTATGTGTATTTTACATGATTCTGAACGAGCGCAAAGTATAAATCCATTGCAAAAACAATTGCCATGGTAACCGCGGTTTCCTCTTAAAATAATCTTTAAAAAGTTAATTTGTTACTACAACAAAACTGTGGTAACTTGATAGCCAGCAATGTCATAAATTAATAAATATTCGATAACACTTTATTTTAAAGTATTCTTATTACACGTTACATGTACTTACTATTATAATAACAGTAAATTATGCCAAATTACATAAACGTAACCGTAATCCTAACCATATAGTAAGTACATGTAGTTAATTAATATTACTCAGTACTTAAATGTATAATTACACTGTAACAAGGACACCTTAAAATAAAGTGTAACCAAATATTCCATTAAATTATATAAGCTTCTTACACTGTTTTGAGATCCGATATAAATTTATTATGGTTTTGAAAGTAACCCCAATAATTTAAGTTTTTGGGTGGAAACTCTGGCTGGTAAATATTTATGAGGGATTTATTAATAAACTGTTGTAACTAGATGTCCGCCAATGTCATTAATAAATAAATAAATAAAGGTAAATATTCAATGAAATATTCTGAGAACCCATAAAATGTATTATAGTTTTGAAAGTAACACTGATAACTTTGGGAACTAAGGTGTTTTGGTGGAAACCGGTAAATGTTTATGAGGGATTTATTAATAATGGTACAGCAAAACTTTGCTAACTTGGCATTAGCCACCAATATCATAAAAATACAGCTACTTGAAAACAATTATGGTTTTTAAAGTACCAACAAACCATAGTAACTACGGTACTTTGGAAACTGGAAGTTTGGTGGAAATACTATGGTCGATATTTACAAGGGGCTTATTAATAAGTGTGCACACATTTGGTTTCTCACTTGGTTTTATTTAAAAATGTCTAAAAGATATATAATATAAGTCTGTATGGATTTGTGGCTTTTACAATGGCTATTTGACTTTCATAGTACCTTCAAGCTTCACCTTGTGGCAAGATTTCTTAAAAAAGCAGGTAGATTTATAAGTTAGGCATTGCTTACAGCTCATTGTTTCTACACAAGTTTAGATGCAATCTATGGTTGTCAACTCAGTCAACTGAAGTTTTCCTTGACTTGATTTTTACTATTGTTTACCAATTCAGCAAACACACTAGTATTCCTTCACTCTGTGGTGCCGCGGTTGGACACTTCGATAAACACTGCAGGATTCCTGAGGCTGTATTTTGAGACTAGAAGTGTCCCTCAGTCTCACCAAATGCAGTTGACATTCCTCAGCTGAGAGCTAGCAAGGTCACAGTCATCAAATCAGCTGCAGCATGTGATATGAAGGAGTGGAATGCCAGTGTAGGCTTTGCCCACAACTCCACACTCATGCTCTCCAGAAGTCATTCTGGTAATATGATTCAAACTGAGGGGATTAGTATGCCATTTCTCTTTTCACTTTGCTACACGTCTAATTGGAAGTGTGTGAACTTGTCACATGGAAGTTTGTGGCTATGTTCAATTCATACCTCTTTTAGATGTTAAAGTATGTGCAATGATGCAGAATGATACTGCTTTGAAATTAAATAAAAATGAGTTATTCTAAAGCCTCCCTTATGACATTTCATGTCAAAATGTTCTGTCTTATATAAAAGAAAAAACTTGTTTAGCCATCATTTTGTTGTCATTAAATGACATTTTCAGGTTTGTGTAAACATCACAGAACATCAGAGCTGTTCCGCTGACAAGAGCCCTCATGCAGCTCTCTTAATTTTGGACTAGTTATTCAGTTGAATACATGATTTTTCTTTTCAAGGGTGGAACCTCACATCTAACTGTTTTGTCCAAATCTGCAGCACACTGACTAAAGTGATTAATAACCTTTGTTGGCTGATGACGATATGTTAATCAGGTGTTATTGTGTACCTCTGTAGTCAATACCTTCAGGACATGCTGCTCTCAAGGGCATAATGTGCTGGTTACTGGTGATTACTAACCACCTGACAGATATGACATACATTCAAGACAACCAGAGAGACTGAAAAGAATCATATATAGTGTGTGTGTGTGTGTGTGTGTGTGTGTGTGTGTGTGTGTGTGTGTATATACAGTATATTATAAATATATACACACACACACACACACACACACATATATATATATATATATATATATATATAAGTATTTACTGTCTATAGTATAATACAGTAAACCTGAGTAAAACTGACTTCAAGTAGGTCATTCATTCAAAATGGCTACATTCACAATAAATAGCATATTTACTAACCAGTTTTACTTTCTCATCATCCTGTACTTCCAACAGCAGACGACAAATCAGATATTGTCTGTATGCCCAAATAACCAAACCCATTTTGGGTAATTCAGGACACTCAAGTATTTGTCAAATTTGTCTCGTTCTGTAAGCACAGATTGTTCTAATATTAGTGATTGACTGCACAATCTAATGCTATAGGGTACATCAGTGATGTGACTACTAGACAATTAGTTGTTGAGTGTGAGTCAGTTTATACTATAAACTTAATAACTAAACTCACTCTCACATTTCGCTTCTGACTTTTGTAAATGTAGGATTTTCACCCGGTTACACTTTATATTTTACGGTCCGATTCTTGCCATTAACAAACCATTAACTACGACTTTTGCCTTAATAAACTATTAATATGCTGTTTATTTATAGTTAGTAAGGTTTTTGTTAAGTTTAGGTATTGGGTAGGATTAGGGATGTATTTGGACTAGTTATTCAGTTGAATACATGATTTTTCTTTTCAAGGGTGGAACCTCACATCTAACTGTTTTGTCCAAATCTGCAGCACACTGACTAAAGTGATTAATAACCTTTGTTGGCTGATGACGATATGTTAATCAGGTGTTATTGTGTACCTCTGTAGTCAATACCTTCAGGACATGCTGCTCTCAAGGGCATAATGTGCTGGTTACTGGTGATTACTAACCACCTGACAGATATGACATACATTCAAGACAACCAGAGAGACTGAAAAGGTTTTTGTTAAGTTTAGGTATTGGGTAGGATTAGGGATGTAGAATATGGTCATGCAGAATATGTGCTTTCTAACTTAAATACTAATAAACAGCCAATATGTTAATAATGGGCATGCTAATAAGTAACTAGTTAATAGTGAGAATTGGTCCCTACTCGTACTCCCTATACTAAATTGTTACCCGTCACTCTTATTCATATCTGAACTGTGTATAAAAAGGCCATGTATGTTGATAAAAAGAAAGTTCAAAAGAACAGCTTTTATTTGGTAATAATGTAACGTATTTACTGTCACTTTTGGTCAATTTACAGCAATTTCTTCCTTGCTGAATAACAGTATTAAATAAATCTTACTGACTAAACTTTTGAACAATAGTGTAAGTTCTATTATAGCTGTCACTAGCAGTTTGTTTGAATGCTAAGTTTGGTTTACCATTAACCAAATATGGCTTACGTATGGTGATTTATGATTCTCAAGCAGTGTTTCTGTGTTTGGCTGTTGTACAGTGCTTGGCTTCAGTGATCCGTTCAGCAGTGAGGTGAAACCTCGGATCCTGCTCATGGGCCTGAGGCGAAGCGGCAAGTCTTCCATTCAAAAAGTTGTATTCCACAAGATGTCACCAAACGAGACTCTCTTTCTGGAGAGCACTAATAAGATTTGTCGAGAGGACGTTTCCAACAGTTCCTTTGTCAGCTTCCAAATCTGGGACTTTCCTGGTCAGATTGATTTCTTCGACCCCACATTCGACTATGAGATGATATTTCGTGGCACAGGGGCTCTCATCTTTGTCATAGACTCTCAGGTGAAATGTCTGTCTGTCTGTCTGTCTGTCTGTCTGTCTGTCTGTCTGTCTGTCTGTCTGTCTGTCTGTCTGTCTGTCTGTCTGTCTGTCTGTCTGTCTGTCTGTCTGTCTGTCTGTCTGTCTGTCTGTCTGTCTGTCTGTCTGTCTGTCTGTCTGTCTGTCTGTCTGTCTGTCTGTCTGTCTGTCTGTCTGTCTGTCTGTCTATCAATCTGTCTGTCTGTCTATCAATCTGTCTGTCTGTTTTCTAAAAACACTCTACAAATATGTTACTGTGTAGGATGATTATGTGGAGGCACTGAGTAGACTTCACCTCACCGTGACAAGAGCCTACAAGGTCAATCCTGACATCAACTTCGAAGTGTTCATCCACAAGGTCGATGGGCTTTCAGATGACCACAAAATTGAGAAACAGAGGGACATACACAAACGAGCCAATGATGATCTAGCTGATGCTGGTTTAGAAAGAATACACTTAAGGTTGGTATCGTAACAGATCAGATATTATGTGGCATTTTTGAAAACATCAGATGTTGGATTTGTGATGTGAAATGTATTATTTCTTTCAGCTTCTACTTGACAAGCATCTATGATCATTCAATCTTTGAGGCCTTCAGTAAAGTTGTGCAGAAACTCATCCCTCAACTTCCCACCCTTGAGAATCTGCTCAACATTTTCATATCTGTAAGTAAATGTTCACTGTGTGGCCCATGCACCCCTTTATATCTTGGTTTCTCTTATTTTCAGCATGGATAACCAAAGTGAATCTCTGATCAGTACTTAGTGTTGAATTAATTATGTTCTTGCTCAATGACTGATCATTTAGAACTTAGCAATTTCTAGTAATTCATACATTTTTGAGCTGAGGTAGTGAGACTTATGATTAATTAAGATGTCATGGGTTGCAATCCATGATGCATGGAAAGTTATCTTTAGAATTAAAGGCACAGTAATAATGAATAACTTGTAAAGAGTTTTCACTATCATGCAAGAACATGTTAAAAGAATGTTATATTTGATGTTTTTTTAGTTATTCATTTTCATGTAAACATGCAAAACCAGAAAGCATAATTTTCTGCCTGTTAAGAATTATATCTGGTCACATTCAGCCATTAGCATAAGTACATTAGCACTGGGCTGTGATTTGCTCTTGCAGTGAGGTATAATGGAAATAATATTCCTACAAACATGATGATCACAAAACCCATTATTATTTATTATGATCTCTCTCAGACATAATATAATTGTATGGTGCTCATGTTTTATGTTGATCAGGAAAGTAATTACATTTAGCAGAATCATAAATACTTCAGAAGTTTTTTACATTAGCCAGCGGGTGGCAGCAGAGGGTAAATTGACATGGTAAAAAGACTGCTACATGAGTACAATAACTGAGCAACTTATAAATTTGATATTATGAAGATCGAAATCTCTTAACCATCTGCCATTCAATGCATTGTGATTTTAATCTGTTTTTATGCATTGTCTGATTTCATAGGTTGATTCAGATTTACCCTTGATCTGTGTCCTTATACTGTAAATATATTTAGATAAATGTAAGACTTTAAAAAAAAAATGCTTTTATTCAGTAAGGATGCATTAAAATGATCAGTAAAGACATTTATAATGTTACAAAATATTTCCATTACAAATAAATGCTGTTATTTTGAACTTTCTATTCATCAAAGAATCCTGAAAAAATAAATAAATCATGGTTTCCACAAAAATAGTAAGCAGTTTTCAACATTGAAAATAATAATAAATTTTTCTTCAGCACCAAATCAGGATATTTAAATGATTTCTGAAGGATCATGTGACACTGAAGACTAGAGTAATGACAGCTTTGCCATCACAGGGAAAAAAATATATTTTAAAATATATTAAAATAGAAAACAGTTATTTCAATTTGTATTTCATTCATTTTTTTTTTTAAGTACAAATATTATTGAATATAATTGCAATTTAAAAATTTTAGACTGTTAATGTTTTAAAAATAGCAGTTCACATGGGAAGAGTCACATAACTTGGGAAGAGGCTTTCTAGTCTTTCAACAGCTTTTATAGAATTAGATGCATTTTCTAACAACAGTACTTGCAATGCAGTTGATTACTTGGTTGCGCAATTCATTTCCACTTCAAAGTGTTCTTAGATATGATGTCCTGTTCTGCTGCATTTCTTAAGACTAACAGCTGACCCCTAACCCCGTCCTGTGCTCTCATTGCAGAATTCAGGGATTGAAAAGGCTTTTCTCTTTGATGTGGTCAGTAAGATTTACATAGCAACCGACAGCAGCCCGGTGGATATGCAGACCTATGAATTGTGCTGTGACATGATAGATGTGGTTATTGACATCTCGTGCATCTATGGGTGAGTGACACCAAGTGACAATCCCTCCACAGTCACATTACGCTACAGAACATGTTCTTATCCTGTAGACATGAAGCAGAATGGCAAGTCTAGCATCTTCTGCCACTATATTTCTTTTGTGCCATACAGTACATCCAAAAAAATACACAATAAAATGCAACACTCCACATGCAACCACTTTGTTTCCCTATAGCCGTTGTTGGCTGGGATTTAATCTTTTGTGGATTAGTAGCATATAACTCGGGGATATGTAAACACTGGCTGTAAACATTGGAAGGGCAGAGAGTGGCACCTCCAGCGACATTGACCCAATTTGTCCTGTAATTTGACGGGACACAGCAGTCTGGGTAGGTACAGGAATGCAGGCCTGAACCGGGGCCCCACATATGTCGGTTCGCGGTGGCCTGCAAGAGCAGATGGGACACCTCATCACTTTCTGATGAATAGGAGAGCCCATTTCGGCTTGACAGCTTGTGCATTCATTTGTAGTATATGGCTTTTATTTAGATTTGGCGAGCTGCTGTGGAATTAATTTCCGCAAGCCTTGTTTGTAACTCATTGAAATTAATAAGTCGCTTATTTGTTCCCTATTCATCATATTGACATTGATTCGTGTTCTCAGTTTCAGGAAGCTCCAAATTACATGCTTTATTATGCCGCCTCAGTTTGTTCTTCATCTTTTCCGTACTTTCTTTTTTGTGTGAAAATATTTATATATTTGTAACATCCATGCATAATAGCATAAATTTGTTTGGTAATAAAAGCGGGGGGATTATGACAGGGCATCTGTTCGTTTTGATAATTATGATATGAATCAACATCTGTTCCACACTGCACAATTTTTCAGCCGTATGCACGGTCTGTTCTTAAGCTGAATTGGGAAAGTGTCTTCCTGATGGAGCAGTAATTCACGCTGCTCAGAGGAAGCCGCCCATCAGGGACATGTTCATTATGTGCATTCATCATACAAATTGAAGGACAAGTGCAAAAAAATAAAAATAGCATGAGATGTCTCTGGAACTGCAGAGAGCAGGGAAGACATTATGATAGATGGTTGTGCTTTGTTTTTATAGTTGTTGTTTTTCATATAGGTTGACTGGCGATGAAGCAGGAACTCCGTATGATAAAGAATCCATGGCCATAATCCACTTGAACAACACTACGGTCATGTACCTAAAAGAGGTCACCAAATTTCTTGCCCTGGTGTGTTTCCTCAGGGAAGAGAGTTTTGAGAGGAAAGGTAAGCTTTCTGGACATCATGCAAACGTGTTTGGTGTGATATTATTGTTTATATCTGTCTTTTTCCAGGGCTTGTTGTCACATGCCGAAGTAGTCTCAAGGGCTATAGGGTCTCAGTAACATTTTGGAGTCAATTATTAAAGTCCAATTATAAAATAGCTGTTTTCTCTAGCAGAAGTTTTGTATGTTGTTTTCCATCATCTGGTTTGTTTAATATTTTATATACTACTGTTCAAAAGTTTGGGGTTGGAAAGTTTTTTTTTATTGTTATTAATACTTTTACTCAGTAAGGATTCATTAATTTGATCAAAACTGGCAGTTAAGACATTGTTACAGAAAAAAAATACTATTTCAAATAAATGCTCTTGTTTTGAACTTTCTATTCATCAAAGAATTCTGAAAAAAATGTATCACTGTTGCTGTTTTCAACACTGAATAATAAATAATAAATATTTCCTGAGCAGCAGATCAGCTTATTAGAATGATTTCTGAAGGATCATGTGACAAAGAAGACTGGAGTAATGATGCTGAAAATTCAGCTTTGTCATCAGAAATGAAATGCATTCTAAAAATATATTCAAATTAAAATTAGTTCACAATATTGGTGTTTTTTTTTCTGTATTTTTGATCAAATAAATGCAGCTTTGGTGAACATAAGAGACTTGAAAAACCTGAAGAAGCTTATCAACCCCAACATTTTAAACAGTAGTGTAAATGCACATGTGTTTAATGGAGTAAATATTTTTTTCCTTGGCAATTGCTTTTTGTAGCCAACACTTTTAAGGTTTGTTCCTATACAGAAATTGACTGGAAGAAATAAAATATAAATATTTACAAAAGTAAAAAATGTGTGACAACTATAAGATTAACTATACTGTTTACTGCTCTGCCAATATTCTGTGATAAATTACACTGGTGACAGTTTCAAAAGATAAAAGGGAGCTAAAAGAAAAAAACAGCAGGCCGCAAAATGTTTATTAACTATTAACAATTCCCACTAGTAATCCTCATGCAGCACATGTGGATTCAATAGGGACTACAATAAAGACCTAAAGATCAGCTTTTGCCTACAAGCTGTTTTTAGCAATTACTGCTACACTACATTTGTCTTAAATCGGTCAGAAAAGAACCTGCTGGTGTAAAGCGGCACTCACATGAGAGAATGGGATAATTAGTGGAATCCTTGGGAGGCTAATGAAGATTGAAATATTCATGCTAGGAATTACTAAGTGGGTTAGGGAGAGTATCATGAGCAATCATGTTAGTCAGCGGGGAAAACAAGGCATTTTATAAAGGCGTAGATTTGCACTGGCTTCTTGGATGACATAAATGTTCTGCATCATAAAGTAATATATATTTTATTCAATTTTTCACACTATATTTAACTGAACTTATCAAAACTTTAACTCAATTATAAAAAGGTAAATCGCTAGGGAAGCTGGTTCTTTTTTCTGTTCAAACTGAATATTTAATCATTTGCGTTTTCATAAAGCCTCAGTTGGCACCCGTCAACCGGTACTGTATGTTTTACGTCTAGCTTTCAAAGTATATCTGTATGTAGGTGTTAGTAAATGTTTTATGTAGATTTTTTTTTTTTCTCTGGATCAAAGCTGAATGACATATCTCTGTTATGTGTGTCATAATCTTAATTCAAAGTGCATTTATGCAGTGATCCAATTTTGGAATGGGTCAGACGAGTTTCAGGCCGCAGGCTAATTACGTTTGTCTTTGCTCACGCAGGACTTATCGACTACAATTTCCACTGTTTCAAGAAAGCCATAGAGGAGGTGTTTGAAGTGCGCTTGAAAGTGCAGAGGAGTCGGAAGCTTCTGAGCCAGAGGAGGTGGAGCAAGCAGACCGTGCCAAACGGGACTCAGGTGCATCCTCATTGAAGAGCATTGAAAGCTCCCTGGCCTGTTACAGTGACTACAGAGTGAAGGCTTCACACAGACTTCGCTTGCGCTTTGAATCTTCTTCAGGGCCACTTGTTGCTCTTCAGCAATCCAAAATGGTGATATAGATTCCGTTGTGCATTAAATATCTTGCATGGCTAACTTAGCTGTCCATGCAAAGTTGTAAAGTAAGCAACTTTTTTGTTGTTTTCAATAATATTTTTTACTCAAAATCAATCAACTGTGCTTCAGTTTCTCACAAAATACATGGTCGAAGCCATTTCCAATGTGCAAGTACAAGTGCAAGATCATACAGTACTTTTGTCGCATTTTTACAGCAAGGCACAAACATCTTATTTAACTTCAAAGTGCATTGTAGAACAAGAAAGTATTTTTTTTTTTTTACATTTATTTTAATTATTTAAAATTAAAAATTAATTCCCCTCTTTAGTCCATAATTATTTATTTTATTACCCCTGCAGATTTTTTTATTTATTTTTACTTTGTCATTTATGGTTAAATAGCTATTCAGTTTCACATATTTTTTCTTTATTTACTTAAAATTGTAATTTAAGTTTGTCAGCAGCTTTTTCAGGGATTAATCGCATCCAAAATAAAAGTTTTTGTTTACATAACATATATGAGTGTACTGTTTATATTTATTATGTGTATATACATACACAAACATGCATGTATATATTTAAGAAAAAAGTGTTATGTTTATATATTGAAAATATTTATATATAATATAAATTATATGAATATAAATATATACATGTAAATACATGTAAATATTTTCAAAATATATACTGTATGTGTGTCTTTATATATACATAATACATGTACACAGTACACAAACATATTATTAGAACGAAAACTTATTTTGGATGCGATTAATCGCGATTAATCGTTTGACAGCAATACATTAAATATATTGCACAACTAACTTAGCTCTCCATATTTTAACGGTTTGCAAAGAATGCAACATTTTTTTTATTTTCAATAATATTTTTTTTACCTTAGAAAAATCTGTGCTTAAAGTTACAAGTGCAAGATCATACTTTTGTCACGTTTAGAGCACAAACATCTCAGTTATCTTCTATATACATTGTAAAAAAAAAATGAATTGCTTAAAATTAAAAATGTATTTCCACTTTTAATTCATAATTATTTACCCCTGCATTTGATTGTTTTATCTTATTTGATCTCATGAATTTTTTTTTTGGTCTGTTTATTTTTTTTAAACTGTAATTTAAGTGTGTCAGCAACATTAAGTTGGTTGTTTTGCATATACCAGTGGTTCTCATTAGAGGGCCTCAGCAAACTTCTTAACAAACTTCAAATAATTCAAATGAATTATTGTTATAATACAAATAATATTAATATTATAATTAAACAACTAATGCTATTTCATTATTTCCCCCCTCAATAACCATTGATAGTTTCTGTTTGCAAAAAAAGATCTTTGTCATAATTATAGCAAAAATACTGGAGAAAAATATTGTATATAAAAATATGTTGGCCTTCAAGTCAAAAAGGTTGAGAACCACTGGCATATACAGTATACATTTTAAGAATAAAAATGTATGCTAATTCACAGCATATTTATTTATTTATTTATTTATATTGTTTAAAAAAATGAAAGTGCTTTTGTTAAAAAAAAAGTCTCTGTCTTTATCACTCACAACTACATAAAAATATTATTTTTTATTTCACTACCACGTAACTAACTTTATATTAGACGTATTTCAGATTTCAAGATGTCTTGTTGCCAAAATGATTCTTATTCTCACATTTAACCAAATGCAAGAAGTGCTGATTGACTCACAAACACTTTTCCCTTTCCAGGCCATCCTCACTTAGCTTTTGCTCGCAAGGAACATTTAACTTCTTTGGCGTCACAGGAAGTACAATGTCCCGCCTCCGCCCCGGTGCTAATATCATGTAACTGATTTTTAGCGGTTGGTGTGTGTTGCCAGGGTTTTAATGTGTGTGCAGTGGAAGTGTCTCGCTGCGGGGTTAGAGCACCAGCACTAATCCCAGGGGATACCTTTGCTTCGGCAATGAAGGCTGATGGGTAAATCTCATGAGGTCAGAGCCGCTTACGCAAGAACTGCTCCTCTCTGGATGGACACTAAATCATCTGTAGTGAAACTACAATGTGTTATGTAAGGCAATTTCATGTTTAGTATTATAATCTCTATCAGCGGGCCAAACGCTATTTACTCGGCGAGAGCAGGGACGCATCTGTGACTGAGGGCTTTTCCTTTTGTGCTTATGTGTTGTTAAGGCACATGGGTGAAGTGAAGAACTTGAACTTGAAGCTCTCTCTTTTAGTGCGAATATATTAGAATCTAAGAAGGAATCTTTCCTAGCAGCATTTTTAATAGCACTGCTGTTGCCATGTCAAACCGAGTGTAATTTAAATCTATCAGCCGTAGTTCTCAGTCACAACTAGTCAGCTGCTATAGTGAACGTACCAATCAGAGGCTGTCATAGAGGATTAGATTGCTTCAAGACTTAAGCTGTGGCTCCACATTAAGAAAAGGCTTTATGGGCTCTTCACAAGGTCTTCATTGATTGGGTGAAAAGAGAGCAGTCTTCATGTAACTCATGCTGTCAGACATGAAGTACACATCAGACACATGTCAAGTTATCCAGATACTTCCGCTCTCACTTATCCTAGTACACATACACAATTGACGGATTTTCAATGTATATTTAAGCTTCTTAGTTTACTTTGTGTGTCGCTTTTTATTGTGCAACATGATTTAAACAAGATTTTTTTGTTTTGTAAAACTACAATAATGGTCCATTTGTTAAAGGAACAGTTCACGCAAAATTTTAAATTTGTTGAAAATGTACTCACCCTTGGGCCATCCAAGATGTAGATGAGTTTGTTTCTTCATCAGAACAGATTTGGAGAAATTTAGCATTACATCACTTGCTAACCAATGGATCCTCTGCAGTGAATGGGTGCCGTCAGAATGAGAGTCCAAACGGCTGATAAAAACATCACAATAATCCACAAGCAATCCACACGACTCCAGTCTGACAATTAATTTATTGTGAAGTGAAAAGTTGCATGTTTAAGTTACATTAAGACATTTTTAACTTCAAATTGCTGCTTCCGGTTAAAAAATGAGTCCTTGCTTTCTCCAGCGAAAAAGTAATCTTGTCTTAATCAGGAGAGAAATACGCACAGATCAAGCACTGTTTACGAGCAAAAACAAGTCTAAAACATTTCTAAACAAATATGCTGGTGGATTTTAATGAAAGAGGACAATGGAGGATGGACTTTTTCACTGGAGGAAGCGGTATAATGAATTATAGACCGAATTAATTTAACCAGAAGTGATGGGTTAAAAATAAAAAGTTTAAATGCTGAATTTGTTTCTTACTTTTCGCTTCACAAGACATTAATTGATGGACTGGAGTCGTGTGGATTATTGTGTGTTTTTATTAGCTGTTTGAACTCTGCCGATTCTGACAGCACCCATTCACTGCAGAGGATACATTGGTGAGCAATTGACGTAATGCTAGATTTCTCCATTTTTAAAAGGGAATCATAAGGCTTTATTGTATTGAACAATAATGTGTCATTAAAATATAAATAAAGGTTTAATGACATTCCTAACACTTTGAATGTCCTCGACTATATCTAGATTTTTTTTTTTCTTAAAAAAAACTCTTGCACAATCTTAACTAACTAGATCTTTAAGTTGATTTGAGTTTCAGATTTCAGGTGAAAGTCAGAGAGAGCAGATATGGCTCAAGAGATGATCTGAAGTCCAGAAGTCGTCTCTCTTAAAAGTAATCTTTGTTGTTGCATAACTATTGGCCCTAATCAACAGCCCCAGATTCTGTGACGAGTGAGGACAGCCCAGCATCCAGCCTGCGTTTCTTTGACCTCGCTATTTCCCCAACGGAATGAAAAAGTTGGAGGAAAAACATCAGATTTGACTTGTGAATTTACCTCCCGCTGACACATGAATATGCAGCCTGAATATTATTATTAACAATTCAGAAGTGCCTCATTAAAGATAACTTATAATTTAGGCTCACAGCATCCAGCAAATCTAAGAACCATTTCAATTTTTCAGGAACCGAGGCAACCATTCAATTTAATGATAAATTAACAACTGAACAATTTAATCTTATTTTTTGTGACCTATTTTCACATTTCAAATGCCACAATTTGTTTGCAACCCCACAAAAAGGAAATGAAGGTCGCACTAAAAACAGTTCAATATGCTTAAATAAATGAACAAATGATTTTTTTAAATTACATTTTTATATTGCCTTGTATTGGCAATGATAACAACAGGCCTCATTTTCACTTCAGATTGCATATGTTTCATGCCGTAAGGTTAAAGGTTAATGACAACAGATGTTTTACTTTTTTATTCTCTTTAGTTAGACTGCATGTCACATGTTTCTGGAGTTCAGAATAAATATCAGATCAGTAATCATTCATGTGCACAAAACAACAAGCTCAGATGCAAGTATGTCACGTGGGCGTTTCTTCAGTGAATCATTACAAACTGCACATCCTATCAAAGATTGCTTGTCTATATTTAACCTTCAATACTGAACAATGTTTAGATGTTTATCACCTTGGAAACAGTTTTTTTTTTTTTTGAAGGCAACTTTATAAAGCTCTGCAAAATTGCATGTTTCTCTTTCATTTCTTAGTATATAGAGCGTTTCAAGAGGAACATCACATTGAAGTCACATATTTCTTCACCGAAAAACATTTGTTTCTTTTTTAAAAGCCCTTAACTATGGTGTCTGTGTTAAAGGCTCACATAAAAACACATGTCCAGATTTCTGCACATAAAAAGTTATCTAAAAGTTGTCCTTGGCTCTGAATTGTAGCAGCAGCCTCACTAAAACACTATATGCAGACTTTTACATTTTTTATTATTTCAGATTTTTTATTAATACTGGGAATTTCAAACTTTTGAATAGTTTGAATACACTATTCACTCTAAAAATATCTACATTACATTTATTCATGCAACTGAGCAAGCAGCAAGTCCAAGATTGCTTATAATTAAGCTGTGAATTTAAATTTATTCATAATAATATATAATCTCAATATACTGGGCTTCAATGTACTTTAAAACTGTCTGTTTGCTTGACTTGAGTTGGAAATAATCAAGAATTGATAATTAACCCATAGTATTCATTAATAGTTTTATAACTGGTATATCTTTCGTCTTCGTTGGATTATGCTGAGCTTGAATACATTCAAATATTTTTGTATAATTGACTGTTGTCCCAGTCAACTGATTTTCTACAGAGCTAGTTTCAATCTATAAACAAGTATTATGCAGGACACTCACGTGCAGCCGTCTGTCTCTTCTGTTGACTAAT